TTTGAAAAGGATCTAAAGCTCATCTAGCTCCAATCCCCTGCCATGGGCAGGGACATACTGTTTAAACTTTTGGCTCATCCTTTAGAAGATCCTCATCCCAACATGAATCTTCTATGATTCTATATAAACCTTCTATCAAACTTTAAAAATTCTCTACAAATCCATTTTCCATATGATTCCTTTCCACAGCCATTGATTTGTATCACCAAACCTCAGTATGTTTTTCCTTGGACAAAATGAGGAATTTGTGATGCTTTGAACTCTTGCTTATCTTCCAGGTAACAAATTAACCCTGCAGTGTTGTTCTCCACCATCTGCAACACCCAAAACATTGCTGAGAGTAGTGTGGACAAGTACACCAATAACAGGTTACACCTAATAGTAACACTGAGCTCTTATTTTACTACTCATAAATGCAGGAAATGAAATTTGCATTCAGCTTTTAAAACACCACAGCCACCATCACTTCAGTCTATTGTCCTGGGAACAGCTATTCTGGGAAGTAAACCCAGCTTCAGTGCATAAAAAAAGACACCCAGGTTCATGTTTCCCACTGTAATGAGAGAAATTATCGTGCTTACCACGTGACTCAACCTCCTCAGTCACCTGCTGGCTGTGATTTCTCACTCCTCCAATTCTTGTTTTCCCTACAAACCACCCCAAACCCAAGCTTAATATTTTCTTTTTGCTGACAGACAGCAATCAGTGCTGTCAGTGCTATGGAACAAGATCGAAGTGGCAAATGACTGCTGGGAGCTTGGAGAATGCACCAGTAAACCCTCCAAAGCACCTGGGACTGCCCAAATCTAGAGAAATTTGTTGCCAGACCTTTTAATATTTCTGCATAAGTTTGATACCAAATCCTTTGGAGCACATCCTGGTCCAAAACACCACTGAAGACTCTAAACAGCGACGAAGATCCCAAATTACAGTTAATTGAAAATATTACTAATCTAAAGCTTTTTCCTTGACCAAGGATGCCCTTAGTCACATTCTAAGAGAGAAGACCTAAGAGATGAATGAAATACTAAGGGATGAGAGCAGGAAGGGGAAGAAAAGGAAGGCAGGGCAATAAATAACACACAGCACACATCCCTTGCAACATCTTTGCTGTAAAAAACACAGGGATCTGCTTGCCTACGTGGCATTCTGTGTGCATGGATGCTACAGCAGAGGATGCCAGTGGAAATTGAAGCACAACTAAGTTTTGAATACACTTGGGAGGGAAGAAGGTTTCAGCAATGAGACAGAGAAGGATAATTCCTGCAGTAAATCAATACACAAACCCCCTCCTGAATAACTGGGTGACTTGCAGAGTACAAATATTCAGTATTATGTAGCCTTGGCAAGAAAGGAGGCAAAATACAGATCATTTTGTTAAGGGAATGTTTTGAAATGGAGCTCTAGACACCCAAATTAAATTATCTCTGTAGGTGCTTGCTATTGATACTCCCCCCACATTCCACAGAGGCACAGGGAGTGATCCAGCTGACCCTCCCCACCCTGGGTCAGCCACACTCCCTTTGCTGGGAGGGAGCTATTCCTTGCTCCCAGTGAAGGAAACAAAGAAGACTGAGGGTGAAGAGGACTTGGATGCAAAAACAGAACAACAGGACAGAAAATTCCTGACAGCAGATGAGCATATTGAAATTCTAACATTGTGCTCATACTTTGTGCATTATTCTCTATTACCACTGTGATTCCTTTAACATGTCATTTTCTACAGACAAGACAGAGAGGTTTCCTATCCCTATTTCCTAATGTCATTCACCACATTCTAAGCCTCCTATAAAAGCTGCCTTTTTATTTCTATTTTCCCTTTTTTAAGATGTCTGAAGATACTCAAACACAGGGCTCAGTGACAGGGGAATAAACACACAGTTTACAGTTCCATCTCCTGAATGCCTGATATGACACAAATCACCCCCATTTTTACTGCAGGTCGAGTTTTACTCTTTGCAAGGCCTGAACTTCAGCTCAGTGTTCCAAACTCATTTTCCTACAAGCCCACATTGGCTGTGTCTGCCCACCCCACAGACCTGGAGGCTGAGAAGCACTGACACACCTGCAAGCAGCCGGGCAGAGAGGTTCAGCTGAAATACAGAAAAGGAAAGTCAGGAGAATCTTGTGTGTTCTACAAGATCCTGATGGAGACTTTGGATTTGTAGCATGCTGCCTTCTCCATAAGGAGCAAAGCAAACTTGGTTTCAACCAAATGATGCTGCTGTGTTCCATTCCCCAGCCACACCAAGCACAGCTGTCTGCCTTCTCCCAGCACATTTCCCAAACAACCCTGGCTGTGTAATTTTGACCACTAAACCTGTCAGCACCCTCCTTTCCTGCCCTGCACATTTCTCAGAATAAGCCTCAGCCATCAGCTTTTCACTCAGCACTGCCATGAGGATTTGGGCACTTGCAGTGCTCCTTCTGGAAGCAGAAGGGATGGACAGCTGGGAATTAATTTCTGCACATTGCATCCTATCTTACTGACCTCTGGGCTAACATCAAAGAACAAGCACAGAGTTGCTACACACGTGGGAAGTTACTACAGAGTCACTACAGACATGAGAAATGGTTGATTGTAACTTGACTACTGCTAACAAGACAGCCCAAACCAGAGCAAGATCTTCCTTCAGGGCTGCAGCATTTTGGAGAATCATGGAACACTTTGGGCTGGAAGGGAGCTTGAAGATCTTCTAATTTCAACCCCTGCCATGGGCAGGGACACCTTCCCCTATCCCAGGGTGCTCCAAGCCCCATCCAGCCTGGCCTGAGACACTGCCAGGGATGGGGCATTGATCATTATTTAAAACTACTAAAGAGACCTTTGCTTGGGTTTATCGAGAATCAGTAAAAAAACCTCCACCTTCAAGCTATAAAATCATCTTAGATAACAAATTATTGGCTGGACTTTTGCTTCTGGAGAAATTGTATTAATATATGTAATTATGGCACAACAAAGATTTTAAACTGTTTGCTCAAGATTTACAAGTATTTTTAACAGAAAAGGAATGGAACAGCAGAGATCCATTAATTACAAGATAGAGTCACTAGATAAAAAGAGAGAGCAAGATAAATAACAGCAAAAGACAGGAATGTGCCTGGGAAACACCACCCCGATGAACTGCCTGTCAAACAGCCACACATGCAGATTGAATTCAGACTGAAACATGCCAATATGTTGCCAGTACTCCAGGGCTGTTTTTTTTTTCCTTAAAACATGTATCAGACTGTAACTTAATTTATAGAGACACTTCTCACTTAGGCCACCACTCAAATACTTTAACTCCAAAGCACAGTATTAACTTCTTGGTCTCTATTCCTTATACATTTCTAGATAACATTTAACCCCGGGAGCCACAGGGGATGTTATGCTGACTCCAGCTTTGTTTCTTGCCAAGAAAGCAAGCAGGAAAAAAACAGTTGCCCTAGTAAAAATTAATCTACCTTCAGAGAATACAAAAAACCTCAAAGACTTCCATTATTTCCAAGATTACGGGTTATCTGTTTGAAAAGCAATGATTATATTCTGCAGTGAGTTCACCAGTAAAAGCAGAAACATCTGAAGCAGAAAGAGAAAGAAGAGGAGAAGAGTTATCAGACATCATCCTGCTTTATTACCAGAGAGGAGCTCCTCATACGGAATAAATTAATATGATTCACACCACTGCACTGCAAAGTACAACCAGCTACAGATCTCTGAAGACATGCAGGAAACAGGGACTTGCAAAGAATTCCAACACCGTAAAAATTAATCCCCCAAATCCTCTTGATCAACTCCTACATGGGAACAAACCACTCTTGAACACAGCAGTGACACAGGTGGGTCTGCAGCTGCCAAGAGCTTCAGCCCAGCAGGACAGCTGGGAGGAAAACCTAGAGGAACGGGCAGATCCCACCTGAAAATCCCAAAGCAGGGGAGAAACATGCCCCATTCCTTAGGGAACCTGGCCTCAGGTGATGACGAAGAGATAACTGCATACAGAAAGTGCACAGGGACTCGCTCGAATGATGGCTGCCTTCTCTCATTTTGCATAGAAATAAACAGACTAACACAAGACAAAGCTCCTAAACATAACTCCAGGTGCAGCCCAGGCCAAGCTGTGACAGCTGCACGTTCCATGCTCCTAGCACACCAAACAAACCTGATGGGTGTGTGGGCAGCTGCTTGTGGCACCCAGAACTGCCCTACAAACACAACTGGTGCACGTGGGCATGGTGCTGAGAAATGGGGACTGAGGACACGTCCTCTGTGCCACAGCAATTGGCCACCTCACCTGAGTCACCCTGAGTGCTCTGGGTGCAACAGGAGAGCAGGCTCCACTGAGAGAGAAGCAAGAAAGGAAGGTAGTGAACAAAAATAAATCAGGGATAAACAAGGAGGAACCAGATTTTGGGGGTGTAAAGCACTAAGTTATTTACATGATGCAAACACAAAAGATGTGAAGCTTATTTGGACCATGGGTAGGTGAAGAGGAAAAAACTTTGGCTCTAAAATTCACATTTTTAAGGAGTAAGCTCCTGGGCGGCTTCCCCATCTTTTTCTTATGCCCCTAATGTTCCAGGGGGGAAAAAACCAACCATCCAAAATATCTGAATAAGATTTAATTTTAAAATGGAGATTTGACTTCCTTTTTTAATGTATTACACAAGAGCTAATGTTTCTATTTTTTATTTCCTATTTTGAAACAGATATAAAGAATCTCCTAGTTTATGTGGTTCGGTACTTATGCTGTCTAGAAACAGAAGTTCTGGGAATTCAGGATATTCACCTCTATTTTTTTGGTGCTTCACAGAAACTGCAGCATCAGGATACTAATATAACATAATTTGTCACTGAAACTGTAATCAAAAATACGCTAAAGGCCTAAATAGCAGCATTAACTGAATTAGCTTAGCCTTCAATTTAAGGTTAATGTGATGCATATGTGAATAAATATGCATCTAGAGAGAACAACTATTAAGAAGTCATTTAGGGAACAACACTTTATCCCTCTCACCTCTCTCCGTCGTGATGCCCAGCAACTTTGTTTGATCTTCCAAACCACAGCTGCCACCAGGAGCAATGACAGGAAACAACTGGAAAGGAAAAAAAATTAGAAAATAATATTTTATTGCTCTTGCTCATAACGCACTGGCAGCTGAAAAACTCTAGGAAATGCAAAGTTAAGTGAAAAGTTCGTACATTAGAAATACACCAAAGAAAGATAATCGAGCACGGTTCAGTGCTTCTGATACCCAGTGAGGAATGACACACTTATTTTCATTATTTATATTGTTCTTTCAAAATTCCTTATCTGACTTCCATAAATGACAGTAAGGCTGAAAGATTTAATCAGATTTAAAAAGCCACTATTGCCTATCTCTGGTGGTATTTTAAGTGAGAGGATAACCCCCAAGAAGAAAAGCCTTGAGAGAAGTAGAGAAAATTGATTATTATTTCCTTTCCAAATTACAAAAATAAGATACAGTGTAGAGCAGGCAGGCTGCTGCAGACCTACAGGCATTTCTGGATTTCCCCAAATCTGTATTGGTTTTCTTCATCAAAAGAGGAGGGGAAAAGGATGAATGAATATATCAATTTCTGGTGAAAATGCAGGGAAGCAGATATAATAAAAAAGAGTAGTAGGAATAATAATAATAATCATTATTATAATAATTACAATAATAACAGACTGTATTGACAGATATGATTTTATCACACTGAATACCTAATGAGCAACTTCAAGACACACAAGCTAAGATTAAAATCTGAGCCCCAGAGGAAGCCTCCTTCCTCAAGGACAGCACTGATGGGTTACAGAAAACATCTCCAAAGCCTCCCCAACTTCCAGCATGTATTGAAAGACAGGTTACAGGAAAGTCTCCATGGAAGGAAGATTTTTTAATCAGAGCAGGTGACTCATGTGCTCAGCTGCAGCATTCACAGTGACCACGGGCTCTGGATGCTCCCACAGGGCTTTCTCTCCAAGAGAGAACCTGCCCAGGGCTGCAGGGAGGCACCCAGGACTGCACCCTGCCAGGAGGGGCCAGGGCCAGGACTCTGCTCCAGGGAACTGAGACAGAGGAGAGCAACGGCCTCAGCGGAGCCTCAGCATGGACAGGGGGGAAACTCCTCCATGGGAAGGGGGGTCAGGCCTTGGAACTGCCCAGGGCAGGGCTGGAGTCCCCATCCCTGGGGGAATTTCACAGCCCTGTGGATGTGGCCCTTGGGGACATGGGGCAGTGGGGGCAGGGCTTGAACTTGCTGATCTCAGAGGGCTTTTCCAACCTAAATGATTCTGCGATGCTATGACTTGGAAATGCCTATAATTAAACACCAGGACAGACAGCAGGAACCATTCCCTGAGAAATGCAAAAGGTGAGGAGACAGTTCTTGTTGCCATATCACCATCTACACACTTTGTGATATGAAACCTCCATGGATGGGGCACAGACACCCAAAGGCAGCCAGTCAGTGATGGGATTGCATTTTTCAGGCTTAGATATGCACAGAAATACGCTTCACTATCATACAGCATATAATATTTAAAAATATGCGCTTGTTTGACTTGCATGGCCCTGGCACGGTGCCCAGAGCAGCTGTGGCTGCCCCTGGATCCCTGGCAGTGCCCAAGGCCAGGCTGGACATTGGGGCTGGGAGCACCTGGACAGTGGGAGGTGTCCCTGCCCACAGGACTGGATGGGCTTTAAGGTCCCTTCCAACACAAAGCATTCCATGATTTTATGATTTCAGATGCAGTTTATGTGCAACATGAGCTGCTGCCAGGGCTCATCAGTGTTTACCTCCTCAGTACACCTTTATTTGGAGAAACAAGATGGAAATCCAAAGGGCAGAGGAAAATGCCAGCAGTGCCAAAAATGCCATTCATCTCAAGCACCCCTGTTAAATTACCCATTTCAGAGAGTTTTTCAGGAGGAGTTTCTCAGGAGGTCAGGCATACAGATGAACTCGCACTGTGCCACCCTCAGCCACAAAGTCAGTGAGGTCTCCACCTTTACACAACAACACACTCCAGTCTCGTGTATCCATCAGACAGCTCCAGAAATACACACAGCAAATGAAGACACGCATCAAAGCATGCTGAACTGCTGTAAGGATGGCCCCTTTTTAGGAAAAAAGTGACCTCAGCAATGAAAACTGTTGGACCTCTTATTTTGGGTCAATTTCATAGAATCACAGAACCTATGTTGGAAAAGACCTCTAAGATCATCAAGTCCAACCATTATTAACTCAGCACTGCCAAGGCCACCACTAAACCATGTCCCCACATGCCACATTTTTGGTGGCACTGTAAATATGTGTCCCTATATATTATTTACTCCTTTGGAGAAGAAAGCTAGAGCGGAGAACTAAGAGGATCATCTTTACTACTAAATCCCCTTTCCAAAATGCAACACTGCATAAGTCTGCACGTTCCAGAGCCCTTCACTGGTTTCTCTTTCCTGCCCATGGCACCACAGCCAAGACTTTCTTCAGAAAATACAGAGAGGAATTAACAATTAAAGACTAATAAAAAACTTCTCCTAAAACACTCACCACAGTACCCTTGTATTTCAAAGGAACAGCACCATACATCTTTGTATTGTCACAAGGAGGCAGCAAATACCCACAAAAGCTATAAAATCACTAAGGAAATATATTTTCCCCCTTGAACTAACATCCCTTGGAAGCCCTCGGGGAGAAATAAAAGGCAGAGCCCACTGCAGTCCATCACCTGCTGGAAGAGCCCCAGGGGTTGAGCAAAGTCAATATCTATTGTTGCATTTACTCAGCCTAAACCATCCTGAAATAAGTTAAAAGACCTGATGTGAGCATCAGTAGCTTTGAGGAAGGGTTTTTCCAACTTTCTCTGGAAAGCAACTCTGTAGGTATGGAAGCAGCAGAAAGAAGCAGCTGCATGCAGAGAGAGAGGTGCTGGGAAATGATTTGGAGTGAGAGCTGAGGCTGGCACAGTCCTGGGTAGAGCTGTGCTCTGCCCTGCTCTCTCAACAGCTTCACACACATCTCTGCCATGAATGTCCACCTGCTTACAAATGACTTTCAAAATCAACATTTACTGCAGGATTTGCTTTGTCCTTTCCTTCTCTTTTTTTCTCCAAAAATAACAGCCTACCAAGAGCATCCTTCATCCCAGAAATCCCTCTTCACCCAAGTCTCCTCTCTGCAGCTTCCCCCATCTCAAATGGCTCCAGGCAGAGCTCAGAGCCCCTGGCAGGGCCTGCAGGGGCTCCAGGAGAGCTGGAGAGGGGCTGGGGACAAGGCCTGCAGGGACAGGAGCCAGGGAATGGCTCCCACTGGGAAAGGGGAGATTGGGCTGGGATCTTGGCAAGGAATTCCTGCCTGGGAGGGTGGGCAGGGGCTGGGCTGGAATTCCCAGAGCAGCTGGGGCTGCCCCTGGATCCCTGGCAGTGCCCAAGGCCAGGTTGGACACTGGGGCTGGAGCACCTGGGACAGTGGGAGGTGTCCCTGCCATGGCACAGGGTGCAACAAGGGGATCTTTAAGTTTCCTTCCAACCCAAACTATTCTGTATTTCTGTCAACTGCTGGATTTCCATTTTCCCATAGCCTGTGACACATCCAGTTTGAGACCAGTTAAATTTTTCCAACAGAGAAGAAAGAAACCAGCAAACTCAGGTGTGGAACCAGAGTGGAAGGAAAAAGAACCATGAAGAGCCACCTAACACCCTGGGGAGTTTCATCCCAGGGAAATTTGAACATGACTCCATTTCAACCAGGTTCTACCAAGCAGAGCTTCCAATGGCTCACACAGTTATAAAAAATTCTGCTTACACAGCATAAATATTGCAATGCAGGGGGAGATACATTTAAATTTTATGGAGAATAGTCTATCTGGCAAATAGCTTTAATAATTCATTCTTAACTATTAATTAGATTATTTAAGTACAATAAACGAGCAATGTGGTTATAAATAATCTCTCCTCAGCTGGCCTCAACACACACACGGAACCTCAGCTGATCAGCCTTCAGGCTACACAGGGTATTCCCACAGTGACACAAAAACCTGAACTTAAACACACTGTCTGGTTTTATTCTGGACTTTAATCTCCTTTTCCACAGAGAGAATATTCTCTCCATGCCTGGTATCCTTAAAGCTTTTCAAACAAGTACACTTTCATTTTTAGATGTCTGGAAAACTCCATCAGCACTTTACTGTGATGCATTCTCAGGAGGAGAGAAGAAAATCCATCTGGTGTATTAGGGCCCAATTATTAAACCTTCGTGAAATGTTTATCCACATCAGAATTGCTTGTAAAAAATGGCAGCTTTAAACACCAAAATGTACAGCAGCCTCACTGCTAATGTGCTTTAACATATACAGGTCACTTAATAATTTCAGAAAGCACTGCCATGATTACTAGAAACACAGCCCAAGTTATTTTGATGAATTAGAAGCTATTTAAGTGCTATTTACCAGTACATTTTAATATGCTAGAGAGCTACAGGACACATTTTAAAGTACTGGATGCATTAATCCTTGAAATAATTGGAACAAGTGTATAACATGCACATGGTTGGTGCCAAACAGCTGCCTGCAGCACACCAAGCTAGATTCCTGACCTCATCCTTCTGCTGAAGATGGCACAAGGCTCAAGAAGCCACAGCTCACCCTGGTTATGGCAGATGAGGGCAGGGGAGGCAGGGAAGGGCTGGAGTACAGGAGCACGGGTTAAACCCAGGTGGAAATGAAGCAGTGCAAAGCCACTCAGCCTCCTTCTCCTCTCCCCCACCCTGGAGGTGTGGGGAGGAAAATCAGATGTAAAATTTGTAGGCTGAGAGAAGAACAGTTTAATAATGGAAAACAAAATAAAATACACTAAATAGCTAATAATAACAATGATATTTAAAAGAGAAATGAAAGAAACCAACCAAACAGCTGATGCACAATAAAACTGCCCAGCACCTGCTGACCCAGATCAGAGCCCTGCAGGTAACTCCCCCAGTTTACACACTGGGCATGATGCTCTGAGCTGTGGAATATCCATCTGACCAGCTGGGCTCACCTACCCCAGCTATGATCCCTCCCAGTTTGAGTAACTCCTCACTGGCAGAGCAA